AAACTGCCTTGCTATAATGTCACTCACCAGAGACCACCTACTAGGATTTCCACAGCCTTCCCACATTCCTACATTTATGCCAAGCAGGAACACGTGGGTCCCTTACCCGCCCCCAGCATGTCCCGGGAAGGGCCAATCTCACCATCCTGAGTCTTTCTGGCATGTCCTCAAATGGCTCCAGATCGGGGTGGGGGTGGGGTTAGGGGACAAATGGCTCACATCTTCCAGGGAAACTACCTGTGGTGCAGACCCCTGCGACCCAGGATGACCCTGGGCTGGTAAGGGGAACAAGAAGGGTCAGAGGCTCAGCAGAGTAGGGGATGTCCCCAGGCAGGGGGCGGGGCAGCTTTCTTTTTTTTTTTTGTAGCATGTTTTTAAAGTTCATCCATCATGATGGAGCATGTATTAGTACTTCATTCGTTTTTATCACCAAAATTCCCTTGTATGGATATACCACATTTTCATTATCCATATATCAGCTGATGGCCATTTGGGTTGTTTCATCTTTTGACTATTATAAATAATGCTACAATAAATATTTGTTTCCAAGTTTTCTTTTCTTTTCTTTCTTTTTTTTGAGACAGAGCCTCAAGCTGTCGCCCTGGGTAGAGTGCTGTGGTATCACAGCTCACAGCAACCTCCAATTCCTGGGCTCAAGCAGTTCTCTTGCCTCCACCTCCCAAGTAGCTGGGACTACTGGCCCAGCTATTTTTTGGTTGCAGTCGTTGTTTGGTGGGTCTGGGCTGAATTCGAACCTGTCAGCTCAGGTGTATGTAGCTGGTGCCTTAGCCACTTGAGCCACAGGCGGCGAGCCTGTTTCCAAGTTTTAGGGTAGACATCTGTTTTCATTTCTCCTATGTATCTATGGAATTGCTAGGTCATATAGTAACTCTGTGTGTAGCTTTTTGAAGAACTGCCAAACTGCTCTCCATTTATCATTCCTTTCAGCAGTGTATGAGAGTTCCAGTTTCTCTACATGCTTCCCAACATTTGATATTATCTGAGTTTTCATTTATAGCCATCCTAGTGGGTGTGGTTTTGATTTCCACTCTCTAAATGGTTAATGCTACTCAGCATCTTTTCATATATTTATTGGACATTTGGATATTTTCTTTGGAGAATATCTATTTTCGTTTGTTTGTTTGTTATTTTTTTTAGCAGGCCTGGGCCGGGTTCAAACCCACCAGCCCTGGTCCATATGGCTGGTGCCCTAATCATTGACCTGCAGGCACCCAGTCAGAAATATCTATTTTTAATAGAGTTATTTATCTTTTTATTACTGCGTTGTAAGAGTTCTTTATATATTCTAGCTACAAATCACTCAGATATATGATTTGCAAATATTTTCTCCCATTCTCTGGGTTGTCTTTTCACTTTCTTTTTTGTTTTTGAGACAGAGTCTCCAGTTGTTACCGTGGATAGAGTGCGGTGGCATCATAGCTCACAGCAACCTCCAACTCTTGGGCTCAAGTGATCCTCTTGCCTCAGTTTTTTCTATTTTTAGTAGAGACAGGGTCTTGCTTTTGCTCAGGTTGGTCTCGAACTTGTGACCTAAAGCAATCCACCTGCCTTGGCCTCCGAATGCTAGGATTATAGGCGTGAGCCACTGCAGCCGGCCTTGTCTTTTCACTTTCTTGATGGGTTGAGTCTCACAGAAGTGAGGACTTTGCTTCTCAAAACTTGGAGATCTTTGTCCATGGTAGAGGAGAGGCAGATTTGGGAAGGGGAGTTCAGCTTGGAATTGGAGTGTGCCAACTAAGGGTCCCTGAGAAGGGTTTACTGTTATTCCTCTTGGATATGGCAACTTTGAGGTATAGTTCAAACTGTTTTTCTCCCATATTTAATTCCCTTTTATTATCCCAAACTCTTCAAAAAAGCCTGAACACCATTGTATGATGGTGAAGGACGCAATTAAGAAGACCAAGCAAAATCTCAGTGTGATGCAAGCCGTATCTCCTTGCTGTGGCCGTTGAAGACACTTGTCTTCCTAAAGTTACTGGAAATGATGCCTATTCCTCCTTCAGAGAGGAACTCAAATGTCATTCCTTCAGAGAATCTTCTCGACCTACCAGGTTCACCTTTAAAATCTCTCATTACTCCACTTTCACTCATAGCAGCCTTGCAGTTTATAATGGTATGAAATAATGACTATTTGAGTAATTTTGCTATTTATTTATGTATTCATTTATTTTTGTTGCCCCAGGTAGAGAGCTGTGGTGTCACAGCTCACCACAACCTCAGGCTCCTAGGCTGAAGTAATTCTCTTGCCTCAGCCTCTTGAGTTGCTGGGATTACAGGCACCTGCCACAGCACCCGGCTATTTTTAGAGGCGGGTCTTGCTCTAGTTCAGGCTGGTCTCGAACTTGTGAGCTCAGGAGATCTGCCTGCCTCAACCTTCCAGAATGCTAGGATTACAGGCATGAGTCACCACGCCCAGCCCTTTGAGTAATTTCAGTTTCTCTTTTCCTCCCTCACTAGACAGCTCCCCAATTCCTAGTATGGTATTATACACAGTTGGAACTTAATGAATATTTGCTATAAGAATGAACACTCAGAAATGCTAAGCTTACCTACCATCTGTTTAACAATTCCCTGGAGAGATTCTCTTTTTCATGGCTACTGTGAAAGTGGCACCTCATTGGTCTGATTGGTTTAAATTACCATGTAACCTATCAATGGGGCTAAAGGGATGGAATATGCTGATTGGGCAGGTCTAGTTGTGTGTTCATTTTCGGAGCTCGGGGAGTAGAGAGGGCTGTTTTCCTGAACTGAGAATAGAGTGAGCTGATTCCCTGAAGACAAGTCAAGATGCTCAAGCAAAGAAGGGGCACTTCTGCTGGGCAGATAAAATATACAGAGACTCAGAAATTAGATAATTTGTCTAATTTGTCTACTAAAGGCCACAGACCTTTAAGTAGTCGAGGTCTTTGGTGGCTATGGTTGTTTATTATTTTTATTTTTCATTTTTGAGACAGAGCCTTACTCTGTCGCCCTGGGTAGAGTGCCATGGCTTCATTTTAGCTCACAACAACCTCAAACTCTTCAGCTCAAGTGATCCATTTGCCTCAACTTCCTGAATAGCTGGGACTACAGGTGCCTGCCACAATACCTGGCTAATTTTTTGTATTTTTAGTAGGGATGGTGTCTGGCTCTTGTCCAGGCTGGTCTTGAACTCTTTTTTTTGGAGACAAAGTCTCATTTTGTCACCCTTGATAGAGTGCTGTGACGTCATAGCTCACAGCAACCTCAAACTCCTGGGCTTCAGAGATTCTCTTGCCTCAGCCTCCCAAGTAGCTGGGACTACAGGTGACTGTCACAACGCCTGGCTATTTTTAGAGACGAGGTGTCCTCTGGCTCAGGCTGGCTGGTCTTGAATTCCTGAGCTCAGGCAATCCACCCCCCTCAGCCTCCCATGTGCTGGGATTACAGGTGTGAGATACCATGCCCAGCCTTTAGTAGGGTTCTTGCTCTTCCTCAGGCTGGTCTGGAACTCCTGAGTTCATGCAATCCACCTGCCTTAGCCTCTCAGAGTGCTAGGACAGGGCCTGGCTTTTTATTTTATTTTGTAATGATCTTGCTGTGGGCTTGGACAGCAATTATTTTATTTTATTTATTTATTTGCAGTTTTTGGCCGGGGATAGGCTTGAACCCGCCACCTCCGGCATATGGAGCTGGGGCCCCACTCCTTTGAGCCACAAGCACTGCCCTGGACAGACTAATTTAACCTCTTCCATCTCTTCTTCCTGCTTAACTTCCCTGGGGTCAGAATTTCAGGTACAATTTTGTCTTTTGCCAAAAGCTATTTTTCTCTTTGGGGGGTTATAAATACAGGGGGAAAAAAAGATGTGTGTGTTACTCTGAATGCCTAAACTTTGAAATCGGACGGCTTTAGTGCTAGCTCGGTCCTTTCTTGGCTGTGTCACCTTGGTCAAGCTATTATCTCCATAATCCTCAGTTTTATGATCTATAAAACAGGGCTAATGTTACCTCATAGAGTTGGTGTGAAGAAGGAATAAGATAAATCTTTCAATAAATGTCACTGTCACTATTTTCATATCTAAAATGGAATTTGTGAAATTTCTAAAATATCATTAGAAATGTTATCTGAAAGGGTATAATAGCAAAATGTAGGCAGTAGTTATTAGTTTTATTTCCTTTTCTTCTTTATACCTTTCCATATTAACTGATTTCTCCACTCATTCCACAGGTTTGTATTAAACACCTATGTTTAATACTATGTGCCAGGCCCTGTGTCAGGAATAGTTAAGATAAAGCAATGTACAAAACAGGTAAGCTTAGCCGGGCCTTGTGGCTGGCGCCTGTAGTCCCAGCTACTTGGGAGGCTGAGGCAAGAGAATAGCTTAAGCCCAAGAGTTTGAGGTTGCTGTGAGCTGCCACGTGACAGCACTCTATCCGGGAGGACACAGTGAGACTCTGTCTCAAAACAACAACAGCAAAAACTAGGTAAGGAATGACGAGAGGCGGGTGTTAATAAAACATTTTTTCACAAGTAATTGTAATTGTCATAAGCGACTCCGTTTTTGTAAAGTAGTAATCTGGAAACACCAAAGCATTTGCAACAAAAATGTTTTAAGATTATTTATAGAGATTTATACAAACAGCTATGGGATCGAATTACTAGTGATTTTGGAAAGGACGGGAGCTATATGAGTGGCTGAGAGAGGATAGGGAAGCGCTGAGGTAGGGAGGGGACTGGAGGTCCTTTCCGGAATGGCCCCTTCGTGGCTGGGTGCTAGGCCCACCCTAAGCATTGTGTATTCAGAAGCTCCAGGGGCCGCAACTTAGCGCCAATCATTGTTCCCAGGGCTCAGAGCCAGCTCCAGAGCCGGGAAGTCAGAGCGACAGTTGCCGGAGAGGTGGCAGCGGAGAGGGTTGGGGAGCGGCCACGTGAGCACCGCGCGGTGAGCCAGCCCGGAGCTGCTCCGCCCCTGTCGGCTGCTCCTGCCCAGCCCAGCCCCAGCCTCGGTTCCAGCCTCAGATCGACTCCTGCCCCGATCCAACGCTCGCTGGTCCCGTACTGCAGCTGCCCCAGCCCGGCTAGCTGTAGTCTGCACTCGAGTCCCCGGCAAGCCCCCACTCCGCGTCTCAAGGTCGTTCCAGCTGCTCCAAGCGCCCCTGGTGCCCTGGGAACGATCCATCCGCTCCGCGCGGCTCCCGCTGCGTTTCCGGAGCGCCGGCCTGTGAGCCCGCTCGCTGCTCCCCGGTACTGTCGGGGGGCCCACCCGCCTGCACCCTGGAGCGCCGGACCACGAGCCTCTGCCAAATCCTCTGGATTCTCGCTGCTGTGGGCAGCGGCTGCAGCGCCTGTCCGCCCGAGGGAGGTAGGTGTGGCTGGCCGGCCTGGGTAGGGGGCCAGGATCCGGCGCTGCAGGCCTGCGTGCCCGGGCGCGTGGGGCGCGGTGGGTCTGGGTTGATAAGTGGGGCCCGACGTGGAACGGAAGGAGAAGGGGCGGGAGATAGGGCTTCTTTGGCCGTTAACTCTCCCGGGCTCAGTGTTTGCTTCTGTAAAATGGGGGAACCGTTTAGATTAATGGCGATGTAGATGGGGAAAACTACTGGCAAGCGATGGGTTGTGTTCTGGCTGTGAGAGACGGTTCTGGGGGCCCGTAGAGGGTCAGCGCACCCCTGCCTTCCTGTCCTCTGTAGGTCCCAAGGCCGCATCCCGTCCCCTGAATGAGAGGTGTGGGTCCGCCCGAATTCCTGGAGCCTCGGGGACTGTGTAGACGAACCCTTGCAGCATTGCTGGCTTCAAGAGTTAGGTTGTTGGCACGCGCCACTGACGTGTGAGCCAAGAGGACCGGCATTAACTGAGAAGCAGCGCAGGGGCGGGGCCCTCCTGGCTAAGCCCTGGCGAAGATTAGCCTGCGCCCCACAGGCAGTATTTCAGAACCAGCCCAGCAGCGCCCGCGCCTCGAGTGAGACAGATGGACTTCCTGAGAGTATCGAGGACGCCCCTGGGAGTCAGACCTCTGAGTCTTCCGGGGTTCCCTCGGGGCCACTCAGCCAGGCAAACAGGATCAAATACCTATGGGCAGGAAAAAGCGTTGTTGGAGTCCTGAGTTCAAATTCTGGCACAGTTACAGGCATTATGACCTTGAACAAGTTTCTTAACCTCTCTGGCCCTCAGTTCCCTCATCAGTAAAATGGGTACAATATTAGCATTTACCTCTTAATGTTTTTGGAAGGATTAGATTAGTAAGTATGTCAGGTGCTTAGAACAGTATGTGGCCCACAGTGAGTGTGGCACTAGGAAGCATCTGATGGCAAAGAGCCCTGGACAGGCTTCTGGGAATTGAATAACATAATTTACCCCCTTGATTTTATGGAGGAGGAAACCGAGATTCCCAGAAGCTCCCTGAGTGGGAGCCAGTCCCATAAACAGACCCTAATAAGCAAAGTGAACTAAGAGCAGGAACAGAGAGCAAGCTGATGATAATAATAATGCCCATAGCCTGTGTGTGGTGGGGAGGAGGGTTACAGAGGAAGGTTTCCTGGAGGAATTGATGTTTGAGCTGAGCTAGGAAAGATGCCAGTGAAGGAGGTGGGGTTTAGAGGAGGTGAGGTTTAGTGTGTGCAGGTGTCTTCCTTCTCTGTGGTCTCTACAGCTCCTGACATTCTTTCCTTCATTCACTTATTCAACAAGTACAGTAAAGCCTCTTGATTACATGAATTCCAGTGTGACATGGTTGGAATTGGCATCCATGCTTCTCTCAGGCCCCTTCTCAAAGTAGCAGGGGTGAGCTTCTTATCTGTTGCTTGGGATGACCGAGGCACAAGCCAGGGCCTGATAATCACTTGGGATGGTCTCAGTTTACATATGATCACTGGTGTATATTCTAAGATTTACGATGTTTTTCTCATATGCTTTTTTGGACATAATAGTGCTTTTTGACTGATTAAGGATATATCACTGATTGGATTTTAAAGCATTTTAATGTGTTACATGGCAGAGGCAGCTATGGATTGCCAACATCATGTTCTTTTCTTCCCCCGTGTTCCTTGGATGAATTTACCAGGCTCTCTTACCATTTGGTGGGGGTCACATGACTGAGTTTTGGCTAATGGGATGTGCGCAGAGATGACTTGTACCCCTATCAAACCTAGACCCTAAAAATCTCCCACTGTTCCCTGATTTACTGGACAAATAGAGAAGACAAGCTGGAAGGAGTCTGGCCTCCTGAATGACTGTGATACAGACCCCCTCCTTTCTTCCTCCTCTGGTGGTCCTTGGCTGTTTGCTGAAAGGATTGGGGTTCCAATATGCTCTATGAAAGGTTTGTGAGTGTGGCTTGTTAGGTGTGCCTTCCCATTGGGGTGATCTGGCCAGGCTGTCCCACTAGGGAAAAGTGTCTCTAGGCTTCTTGTCTTGCACTGGTGAAATTCCCCAAGGAAGTCTTACCTGGTCTTCAGAAGTGTTGGCATCTGGTTGCCAGGACTCCAACAGCTGTGTGGAAAAAGCTGGGGGTGAACAGCGAAAAATTGGATATGTTCAAGCGCATTCTCTAAGATTTTCTATTTCTGATTCAATTCTTCCACTTTGAAGCAGAAAAATCGAATGATCCGGAATATAGTCAAAGTGACAGCATTTAGCTGAAATGATTAAAAATTCAAAGTTTTTGTGTTGAGGGAGACTGGTTCTGTTAACCAAGAAGCTGCAAACTGTTAGCCTGGTGAACTGAGAGTACTCCTGGAAGAAAGTGGTTAGTGTGACAACCATGTCTACACCTGGGATGAAAGTGGCTTGGGACTTAAAGTATTGTTGGATCAGATTCTTACAGCCAGGGCTGATGAACACAGCAACAAGGCTTCAAATAAAGGAAAGAGTGAATCATCAATATGCAGATGATAAATCAGAAGATGACAGTCCCTAACTCTCAAGTCCTAGTGGAAATCCCAGAGAAGCATTTTCAACTAGAGAGTCAGAGGGTAGATGATGCTCCATTCTCCATCTGTGATGCTGTCTAGATCTTACCAGGACTAGCAAGTCCCAGGAGTGCCTGAAAAACAGGTGGCTGAACTGCAGAGACTTTCTACAGGGCATTGGTTCACAAACTTCAGTACATATCACGATCTCCTGGAGTGTTTGTTTAAACTGGGTTGCTGGGCCCACTTCCAGAGTGTAATTTAGCAGGTGTGGGGTGAGGCTTGACAATTTGTAGTTCTAAAATGTTTCCAGGTGAGGCCTGCGATCAGAATTTTAGGAAAACTGGTTAAGGACATAACTGCACTGAAAGCCCTGGGTTCAGCCTGCATCATCTTCCAACTCAACTTCTCTACTTTCTAGCCATGTGGTTTGGGGTGAGTTATTTAACCTCTCTTTCCTCAGTTTATCCATCTGTAGAATGAAGCTAATGGTGCCTATCTCCAGGGGTTTAGGAGAGGCTTCCTGGAGGAGGTGACACTTTTTTGCCATTTCTTTTTCTTTCTTTCTTTCTTTCTTTTTTTTGAGACAGAGTCTCACTCTTTCACCCTGGATAGAGTGCCGTGGCATCATAGGTCACAGCAACCTCAAACTCTTCGGTTCAGGTGATCTCTTTGCTTCAGCCTCCTGAGTAACTGGGACTACAGGCACATGCCAAAATGCCTAGTTAGATTTTTTATTTTTAGTAGAGATGAGGCCTCACTCTTGCACCGCCTAGTCTCAAACTCCTGAGCTTAAGCAATCCACCTGCCTCAGCCTCCCAATATTTTTTCTTTTTTCTTTTTTTTTGAGACGGAGCCTCAAGCTGTCCCCCTGGGTAGAGTGCCGTGGCATCACAGCTCACAGCAACCTCCAACTCCTGGGCTCAAGCGAGTCTTCTGCCTCAGCCTCCCAAGTAGCTGGGATCACAGGCATCTGCCTCAACACCCAGCTATTTTTTGGTTGCAGCCATCATTTTTGTTTGGCGGGCCCAGGCTGGATTTGAACCCACCACCTTAGGAGTATGTGGCTGGCGCCTTAGCCACTTGAGCCACAGGCGCCGAGCCATTTTTTCTTTTTTTAATTTTTTTTTTTTATTAGAGACAGAATCTCACTTTATTGCCCTCAGTAGAGTGCTGTGGCATCACAGCTCACAGCAACCTCCAACTCCTGGGCTTAAGCAATTCTCTTGCCTCAGCTTCCTGAGTAGCTGGCACCCACCAGAATGCCTGGCTATTTTTTTATTGCAGTTTGGCCAGGGCCAGGTTCGAATCCGCCACCCTTAGTATATGGGGCCGGTGCCCTACCCACTGAACCACAGGTGCTTGCCCTATTATTTTCTTTGTTTAAAGATAGGGTCCTGGCTGAGCGCCCATAAACCCACTGGTTAAAGTGCCAGCCACATGCACCGGGGCTGCTAAACAACGACAGCAAAAAAATAGCAGGGTGTTGTGGCAGGTGCCTGTAGTCCCAGCCTCTTGGAAAGCTGAGGCAAGAGAATCGCTTGAGCCCAAGAATTTGAGGTTGCTATGTGCTATCACACTACAGCATTCTACAGAGGGCAACAAAGTAAGATTCTGTCTCAATTAAAAAAAAAAAGATAGGGTCCTGCTACCTTGCCCGAGCTGATCTCAAACTCTTGGGCTCAAGTGATCCTCCTGCCTCAGGCTCCTGAGCTGTTGGAATTACAGGAGCACATCACTGTGACCTACTAAGGTGATATCTAAGCTGAGACCTGAGGAACAAGCAGATGAATTGGCCAGGGAATGAGTAGGGAGGGCAGGCTGGGGCATGTGCCAGATAGAAGGCATGACCTGTTCTGTGCTCTCTGAGGAGCTCGGAGGAGTTACATAGCAAGTACTTTGTAAGTGATACCTACATGCTATCAGTTTGTTTGGGCAGAGAGTAGAGTGGAGGCCCACAAAGGTGTAGAAAATAGGCTGCTGGGATGGGCCTAGAAGTGGTGTAAGTTGTTTCTGCCCACATTTCCTTGGCCCAAATATAGTCATATGGCCCTGCCGAGATGCAGGAGATGCTGGGAAATGTAGTTCCAGCCAGGCGGGTGAGCATGAATTCCTGGTGGAAAGCCAGTTGTCTATGGTACAGTGGCTTTTTCTGGCCCTTGGCCATGTCTCTCATCTCTGAGCTAACTAACTCAGCTCCACTCCACGCCACTCTTGTTGGATGCATGAATTTTACAGGTACATAAGCTGACGCTCAGAGAGGTCAAGTAATCTGCCCAATATTGTTCAGCTGGTAGTGCCAGGGCAGAAGCTTTCTTTGCCAGATTCTGCTCTTGGTGCTTTTCAGGTCTTCCATGATCCAGGCTTTCCCACTCAGAGTCTTAGCCATGTCATCTGGCTAACTGACCTCTCATAATTACTACACAATCGTCCTTCAGCCTCGCTATGTCCAAAGTGC